ACGTTTTGAATGGTGAAACAGAGACAAACACTCAACTGCAAAAATATATGGTTTAACTGTGTTATTCAAGCCATCTCTGGTATTTTCATAATATTTAAATTTATTTATAATCCATTGATAAACGACATAGCCTTTTTACAGTAGAGAACATATTTTCTTCCTCATTCTGTGATATGAAGCCAAAGTTATTTGACTGATGTTGCAGAGTAAAAACATGTTATAATGTTCTCTTTTGTTGGACAACAGGTTTAGAAACATTTCTCAATATGGACACTAGTGTTACTACAAAGATTTGTTGGAATTGTATTATTAGAGCTTTCCGACTTGCATTCACATGCATTTTCTCTGTCTGGAAATTATTTTTAACACATGGTGCCGGTGATGATGCTTCTTGCGTCCGTTTCAGAGAAGCAGAGGACAAATATTTCAATCGATTGCTCAGGCATTTAAGTGGCACCGAAATCTGCATTCTGATTCGGTTCTAGTACATACCGGTTACAGTGGCGTGTCTAGAGCATTTTAAATGGGGGGGCCAGTCGGGGGCACTGGCTCAAAAGAGGGTGGCCGGGCGGGCTTGTGTTTGCGGAATGATGTATGTTATAATACATCATGTACACTCACTAAACAAAGAGTGACAGAGACAGAGACAGTGACAGAGCAGAGCCAATTCATAAAAGAACAATATTTAAAAGCACACGTCCAGTTTTGTGTGAGTGAAGGAAATCTGCTTGGGAGTGGAGAGATTCGTCCTCGCGCACATGGATCGCGTAACATTATGTGCTCTCGACATTGTCATTAAGATCACACTATATAAACCGCCTAAAATTAAGTATAAAGAAGAGAAGAAAGCGGCCCTAGGCAGCTGCCTACACATGCCAGGATCCGCCACTGCCAGATGCAGTTAGAAATTTACTAAAAACAAGCCTACCACAAGACATCTGGTAGGTGGGGGGCACCTGGGCTGGCCAGCCAAATTTCAGGGGGGGGCCGGTGCCACCCCTGGCCACCACGTAGACACGCCCCTGCCTATAGGTACCAGTGCCAATCGGTACCCAACCCTAAAATCTCAATTTCGAAAAATTGACCCTTAGGGTTTTGTGGTCCAGGGTCACATATTATGATAAATACATATCAAATTCTTTTTTCAGGTATGTAATACCAACACACACCCAATATATTGACCAAAAAGCATAGTCTGTTGTTTAAGGGACCTTTTGAATCATTTAATAATGCTATTGACGTACTTTAATACCCGGTCAAATTCATCCGTCAATACGAGTACTCTGACACTTAGCAAACAGTGAGAATAGAAAAGACAATGTTTACACATTTAAATACTTCCCATATGTTTGCTGTTGCAACCAGAAAGATCTACAGTCGTAAGAGGTTTCAAAGAATTAACCCTTAGACATGTCAAACTGGGCAAGATGAAGTTCTGAGTACACAACTCTGCTGAAAGGCTATTGAATCGAGTACTGTTCCTATTTGCCTTTGGATTATGCCATAGTATTGATTTAAGATGCAAGTATTAGCTGACTGTCAATTGATGAATATTTTAAATTTAATTAATCACATTTTAGCCGATTAATTAATCAAAATGACCAAAACAATCCAAGGTTTTTATTTAGCACAGTGGCTATATTAACAAATAACCAGACGCCACACGATCTAAATATTCCCTCACAGTTTAATAGTAATGACTTTATGAATTTCTTCACTGATAAAATAGATAACATCAGAAATACAATAGCAAATGTAGATTCTACAGCGTCTAATACTTCAGCTTCATTCATCACACCCAAAGATAAACTGCAGTGCTTTACAACTATAGGACAGGAAGAGCTAAATAAACTTATCACTGCATCTAAACCAACAACATGCCTGTAAGATACTGTACTCACTAAATTACTGAAAGAGTTGTTACCTGTAGCAGAAGAACCACTTCTCAATATTATTAACTCGTCGTTGTCTTTAGGTCACGTCCCAAAACCATTCAAGCTGGCGGTTATTAAGTCTCTTATTAAGAAACCACAACTAGATCCTAGTGAACTGGCAAATTACAGACCCATCTCAAATCTTCCTTTTATGTCTAAAATTTTAGAAAAAAGTTTGATTGCATCATATAATAATTGCTGTTAATAGTGTTCATCGTCTGTCTGATTACGTATTTAATTGATTTTTCCGTACATTTCTGCCATATGTACATAAACTGACAGTCACCACTGATAAGCTACTACTAAATATTGTAGAAACTTAATTTTCTGTAAAGTTACTTTGCAACGATTTGTATTGTAAAAAGCGCTATACAAATAAACTTCAATTGAATTGAATTGAATTGAAAATGAATCAAAATTAAACAAAACATGAAGGTGGTACGTTAAGCTTGAAAACAAGTTTATTACGGAAGCACAGAATGCCTATTTTGGTCACAGAGCACTGAATGATACCTGTAGTTACGGATTTTAATCATGCTAGATTAAAATAATTACCAGGGATGCTATATTTAATACATTAACACATTTATGGAGTTTGTGTGCTTGGTTCCATACTTATTTTTTGCAGCTATATTTACTAATACATTCTCATTATTTTTTTAATAAACACCAAAATATAAACATCTCATTAAACATGATTCATTGACATGTTAATTCTGATAGCTATTAAGTTATTAGTTGAGCAGAAAGACTGAATCTGCTTTTGCCAAAAATAGTAACGTTCAGTAGTGCTAGCAAATTTTTCAAATTACAAAAATTACATTGCTAAATAAAATATATTTCACATTGGGGACGAGTCAAGAGCCACATCCTTGTACATCCTTGTAATTCAAACAAGCGAAAAATGAATCATTGTGTGGCCGAACGTCTTTCTCATCATTTAAATACAGTTTATTTAATATCACCAATGAAGACATTAAATATTTGTTTGCATCAAGTATCTACCAAGCCCAAGGCCAAATTCAAGCAACGGGTCCACCCTCTGATCACAAACTACATTCCTCCAAAGCAAACTAATAGCAATTATAAAAGGACAAGTGCTGACAGATAACTTGCATTAGCTCTTGAGGATGGATGTTGTCTCCATGGGGACTGTGAGGATGTCCCAGATGTGCATGCTGAGATGGGTCATCCTGCTGATGGGGCTGCAGTCGGTACAAGGAGGTAAGCAGAATAAAACTGAAAAAAAGAAGCAAAAAACTTTGAAATCCTTGAAATGACATTGAAAATATCATTTAAAAACCTCTTTCTATGTTAAAGGCTTCTTGGGGGATTATGGGGATGTTATGAAGGATCCTATGGACTTTACAACCTGGCCGCCAACAACAACAACAGGTGAATATTTTTAAATGTAGCTATGTATTATATGAGATGTACTGACCAAGAACCATCAGATCAATCAGAAGTAAACCTAAAACCTTTTGTATAAGTAAATTCAAATATATTTAATCAAAGTATTTCAGTTTAAATTTCTCATCAATAAAAAAATATAGATAGAGTGATAACAGTAAAGTTCACTCTGCCTGAAAATTTTTTACTTTTTTTATTTTTACAAATTTTGCTGAAAAATTCAAATTGTTGATTAAAATTTAACATAGATGACAAAAATGTCAAATTTAATATCAAAAACTTTAATATGATAAAAACAATTATATGAACCAACTTACAAGATTTTAACCGTGGTTGTAAGGTCAATGACAATTGAAACACTAATTATGGAATAGAAAACTGAATGAACTGATAATTTCAATCTTTAAAATATGCAACATTCTTTCAGTCAAGTTTCTAATTATGAATAAAGTAAAGTAAAAGTTTAAGTGGTCTGCGCATTATAATTGTAAAACATTATTTAGGACGTTCAAAGTTCAGTAACAATATGTTCAGAAATATTCAGAAATATTACAGCAAAGACATTTTGAGGTGTACTATTTTTTGAGTGGGTAAATATGACTCGTGTAACACTGTGAAACTATATCCGTCTTATAACATTTTTAGAAGGAAAGTTTTATTTTCTTTTGCAAACAAATGTGTTTCATAAAAAATGAAAACAGTTTTTCTTTTTGTCTGTTATATTTAGTGTTCCCAATGACGACTGTGATGGTAACAAAAGGTATTAAACAATTATTTAAAATGCATGTTTAGCATCAGTTCTTACAATTCAGGGAACTAAATTGTGTATTTTTGCACACCGAAAGTACTTATCACAGATTAGATATTTAAAAACTGTCTCTCTTGGTTTAGTTCAACCAAATCCTGATCATCAGTCCACGATCTGCAGCACATGGGGAAATTTCCACTTCAAGACCTTTGATGGTCAATTCTTTCAAGTGCCAGACACGTGCAACTATGTTCTGACAGTGATGTGTGACATTACGGTTTCTGATTTTAACATCCAAATGCAAAGAGAGACTGTGAATGGCTCAATCACCTTTAGCACAGTCACAATAAAGCTGGAGGGAACAATCATCAAAATCACTAATGGCGACATCACCATGGATGATCAAGCGTAAGTTGATTTTTATTTCATTTTTACCTGATATATTCTAGCGTCAACCTTTTTTAAACTTATATTAAATTGAGAAACAACAGAATATTAGTGCTTCTAAAATTAAAAATGGTGAAAATTATTCTACATTTATAAAAATGTAAGCTAAAATCTTAATGATGACAGTTACTCAATTATATGACTATATCTTAAAATACGCAAACATGTTTGGTTGAAATGTGTAACACTTCCTCTTACAGGGTGTCGATTCCAATCAATCAGAATGGAATTAAAATTGAAGGAACCCCAACAAGTATTAAAGTCTCCAGATATGGAATGACTGTCTTCTGGGAAGAAGACAACTCTATATTGGTATGATTGAATCAAATCTTGATGTTTAAATGTGGTTATTGTAATACTTGTGATGAATCTGTGATACAACAAGCCAGATAAGAGTTCCAAAGAAAACTGTAAAACTGATTTGATTAAATCTGTTGATAGCAGTAAAAACAAAACAAAGCAAACCTGATAAAGTGCAGGAGAATTCCAGCGCAGTTTCTTGTTTAGTATGTGTCATGATTAATTCATAACCCTATAACGAAATCACACACACCCTTTAAGCTATCATATTTGTTTGCACACAAGTAAGACTAGGAAAATTAAACATCAAACAGGACATCAGTTCTACAAATCACAAAGCAAATATGAATTGTCTAAATAAGCCATAGTGAACCAACAGGTTTTGCAGACGTTTCTGACAGCTCAGTGTTGATTTTATTAAGTGTGTTTGCACTGTCATATATTTTAGCCACAAATAAACATTAGGATAGATTCGCTTTGAGAAAATAAATTGTATTTGTATTGCTGACAGTATCTTGTTATATGATGTTTCCTAGATTGAACTTGCAGAGAAGTACCAAGGTCAGACCTGTGGACTCTGTGGAAACTACAACGGCAACAAGAATGACGATATCCCTGAAAGCGGTAAACCTGACGTTTCAATCAAATGACGTCATGAATGTTTGGTTTAGATCTTCTTTTGAATGCCAGACAAAATACATACATAATTTCAATATGATGTTTGACAAACTAAATAAATCCTTCTCAGGCCCAGCCACCTGGAAGGTTTCCACACCAACTGAATCCTGCGAGGACGTTACACTTCCTCCTGGGGATCAGTGCGACCAGGTATGTGACAAAGTTTTTGGGGCAATATTTTTTACAATTAAAAAATTCGCCAATTTCACTGAATTAAATTGACTGTTTTATTTATTGCCAATGGAAAAATTGATTAAAATGTGCATTTTTCCTGTTTTTAGCACATAAGTGTTTGCCAGCAGCATCTCAGCAGTCCAGGGTTTGCTGACTGTTACAGGGTGATGGACATGATTTCATTTGAAAAAGCCTGTGTAGACGACCTGTGTCAGTGTTACGGCAATCACGACTGTCTCTGCAACACGCTCACAGAGATTTCACGACAGTGCACTCATGCTGGAGGAATACCAGGAACATGGAGGACAGAACAGCTCTGTCGTGAGTATCATTTCTGGAAAACGACTAAAAGAAATCAGTAGGAATAATATGGTAATACCACCACAACACTTACAGCTCACTTGAACTGAATATTAGAACTTGCAGACTATATGGGTATGATTCAAATAAATATATAAATAACAATGAGCAAGTGAATAATGGGTTCATTTTCAAGAATCTGAAACAAGAATTCAACAATTCTGTGGTATAAAAGTTGTGATATTGTCTGATGTGTTTGATATACTAATTGTGTTATTCTGTGGAGCAGCAAAGACGTGTCCTTTGAACTTGCAATACATGGAGTGTGGGAGTCCGTGCAAGAACACCTGCTCAGATCCAGATGCAAATCTAATGTGTAAAGAACACTGTCTGGATGGCTGTTTTTGCCCTGAAGGTAATTTCACTCCACATCAAAAGTCAAACACTTGCATATTTAAAGCTGTTCTTTTAAAGCCACTTTTTCCTCAAAATAAAAAGTATCATGCTTTTTTTTTGTAAAGGCACCGTGGAAGACGACATTGGCCTGAGTGGCTGCGTTCCTGTGAACGAGTGCCCTTGTCTGCATGACGGCGCAGTATATCGATCAGGAGAGTCTTACAAACAAGCTTGCAAAAAATGGTAACAATTTTTTTATTTAAATATTTTAAATTCACATTTAATACCACTTACATATTTCCCCAATGCTAACACTGCTGCCGTATCGTGTCAGTGTGTGCGCCGCTGGACACTGGACTTGTACATACCTGGAATGTCCCGGAATCTGCTCTGTTGTTGGAGGGTCTCACATCACCACTTATGATGGAAAGACCTTCACCTTCAGCGGCAACTGTGACTACATCCTTACTAAGGTCTGCCAGTACAGCAGATGATCCAGATGTTTGTTTTTTTTCAGGGCGAGATAAATGAAAGCCTTCGCTTACACATTTATTCATATGGTTTATATAACAATTAGAAAAGTTCTGACATTATAAAGTTTGCCATTCCCCTGTATGTAATACACACTATATAACGTTGAGGTTCTTACAATCATTTCTTTCATTCCAGCACTCTAATGACAGTGATATTGCTGTCGTGGGAAACCTGGCCAAGTGTGATCCGGCCCGAACAGACACATGTCTAAATTCAGTTACCCTTGTCATTTCGGGGACCACTGTAAGCACAGAGTTCCTATTTTTAATTTTTCTATTGTCTATGATCAGAATGATACACTTGCTTTCAGCATAGTGCTGAGTACATAAAGCATACTTCACCATCTTTTTTATAGCAAAATCCTCCAAGATGCAATTACAAAACATATTTTCTTTTCTTTTTTTGTTGTTGTTGTTGTTTTACTTATAAAACAGATTAGTTTTGCCTCCAATGGTGTTGTGACACTGAATGAAAACAGTCCATATAAGCTTCCTGCCACCACAGGTGGGTTGACATCCTATATGTATATTACCATAACAATAGGCACCGATGATTAGATGTTCTGTTTTACACACCCATTTTGTTGTCCCAGGTCCTGTGAGCATCTTCCAGCCCACTTCCTCTTTCATCATTGCTGATATGAAGAGCCTTCATCTAGAGATCCAGTTGGCTCCAGTCATGCAGTTGTATATTGTAGCCAGCACTGAAGAGAAAGGGAAAATGAGTGGTAAGTTTTGTCAATAAATAAATAATAAATAAAAAAACGATATATATATATATATATATATATATATATATATATTGCTAGTGAAGAAGGAAAGAGCAAAAATGTAAGATTTATAAAATTGCTACAGTATAATGATTTAAAATGTACATATATGACTCCTTTATAATAAAAAAAAAGACCTTTCAAAAATGCATCAGTGCATAGTGAATGAATTACAGGCATTGAATTTTTAATTCTACACCGTTCTTCTTTCAGGTCTATGTGGAAACTATAATGATGTCCAATCAGATGACTTCAAAACAGAGTCTGGTATCATAGAGGGCACACCAATAACATTTGTCAACTTCTGGAAGAAAACCCCATACAGTTGTCCAGATCTTGAAAACACATTTGACAACCCCTGTAGCTTGAGTGTGGACACAGGTACACAGTAATACAAACATTTAAATAAATACATAAATAAATAGATAAAAGTAATTAATATATGCAATTATTTAACTTGCAAACATTACAGAACTCTCTTTATTCTTTCCATTCAGAGAAACTTGCTAAAGACTGGTGTTCCCGTCTTACAAACAACAGCGGAGTCTTTTCCGCATGTCATTCAGAAATATGTCCTGAGATTTTCTACCAAGTGAGTATTTTTGCACTGAACACTCTTCTCTTTTAAAATGAACTGTATATATGTATGAATTACATATAATTGCATCTGGGTTTCATCCTCTGCAGTGGTGTGTCTATGATACCTGCAAATGTGCAGATATTAGGAAGTGTATGTGTGCGGCCGTGTCCAACTATGCCCACGCCTGTGCTGCCAGAGGAGTCATTCTCCAGGGCTGGATGGATTCTGACCCCTGTGGTGAGAATACTTGCTTGTAGAGTTCAATAGAATTAATGCATTTGAATTACATTCTGCAGATTTGGAATAAAATGAAATAATGAGTCATAATAAAAATGTGTTTATCTGTGCACAGCATCTGAATGTTTAGAAAACATGAAGTACTCCTACGGTGTGTCCAGCTGTGGCAGCACCTGCCGCTCTCTCAGTGAACCAGAAGGAACCTGCCCAGGGTCCTTCACACCTGTAGACGGCTGCGTCTGTTCTGAGGGAACCTACCTTAATGAAGACGGCAGTTGTGTGCCTGCCCACCAGTGTCCTTGTTACAAAGGCAACCAGGTCATAGAACCATCGGTAACATCCAACATAGACGGTGTTGCATGGTATGAGTTCCTCATTCCATAACCAATGCATTGTTGTTAGAATACCAATGATAACTCTTGTCTTGACAACCATAAGTAACACCTGATTTGCACTGTTTTGTCATATTATAGCACCTGTACCCTTGGAAAATTGCACTGCTCCAGTCAAGAAGGTAAGTTGGAACTTAATTCTGAAATTGCGCTTGTCAAATTCCAAACTGAGTCATCAGTGTGGAAGTTTCCCACTTCTCATATATGTGACTGTTTTTAGACTGTGTGACTCCAATGGTCTTCTTCAAATGCTCAAATTATGAACCTGGAACAAAAGGGACAGAGTGTCAGAGGACCTGTCAGAACCAAGACCTAAACAACTGCGTGAGTTTGGATGGGGAAAAGACAAAAACATTACTTAGCAGTTAGCAGTTTTCCGGCAGTTATTGTATTTTTTGCCACAAAAGGATTTTGAAGGGTTACCAATGCTGGTCCTTCTTGGTTTGTTTTATCTGTAGGTGAGTACAGGGTGTGTATCAGGGTGTATGTGTCCAGATGACCTTCTGGCTGATGGAAAAGGTGGGTGTGTGGAGAGGACAAACTGCCCCTGTGTCCACAACGGACTCAGCTATTCACCTGGAGAGCAAGTTCAAGAGGACTGTAACACCTGGTGAGCTAGCATTGATAGCAGCAAGAAGCATTGGTAGTAGTAAGAAAGAAATTACAGCTATACCATCACAACCTATGCACTACTTTTTTTCTCCATCCCCCAAAAAATAAGTAATTTGAAAAACATTACAAGATTCCTACTTTACAGTCTCACTGAAAATGAGAGGTAAGAAACATATAACATTAAAGGGTTAATCTGTGAATTGTTGTTTATATTTCAGCACATGCACAAATGGGATGTGGACTTGTACAGATAATGAGTGTTATGGCACCTGTACCATCTATGGTGAAGGTCATTTCATGACTTTTGATGGCAAGAAATATTCTTTCCTTGGAGACTGTGAACACATCTTAGCCCATGTATGTTTTTCTTCGAATTTGGCTTCTTACCTAGTAAAAAAAAAAAAACTATTCTGGTCTGACACACAATTAATGTGCAACCCCTTTAGGATAACTGCAATAATGAACAGAGTCCATATTTTCTACGCCTGGTCACAGAGAACATCCCCTGCGGCACCAGCGGCACCATTTGCTCCAAATCCATCAATCTTTTCTTTGGGGTGAGTTTATTTCATAGCTCGGAGTCATCTTGAGCATAGTTTAAAAGTATGTTAAAATCTGGAATATAATAATATATTTATGCAGACATTGTTTGCTTAAGGATAACTGTATGTCACTGACTATTCAAATCCTGCAGAGATACAAGATGATTTTATCAGAGGAGAATGGGATCAAAGTTGTTGAAAGCAATGGCACTGATTACCTATATCAAATCCATACTGCTGGAATATACAATGTCATAGAGGTCAAAGGTCTTTTGAACTTAATCTGGGACAATAAGACGAGTCTGATGCTCCAACTCCATCCTAAATTTAAGGTAAGCATTACCCCTACATGCACAAATCACAAAACTATTCTCTACACCTTTGTGTTCATCCACTTACCTTAACACCCACATGATCTCTATGGCAGGGCAAGGTGTGTGGACTGTGTGGAAACTTTGACGGTAATGCGAACAATGACTTTGTGAAGCATGATGGAGAAGAGGTCACTGATGCAGTGGCATTTGGAAACAGCTGGAAGGTGAATCCCAGCTGTCCAGAAGTGAGCAACTTGATGAATCCATGTGAAAAAAATCCACATCGGAGTGCCTGGGCTATCAAACAATGCAGCATCATCACAAGCCCTGTCTTTACAGACTGCCATTCACGTGTGAGTAAAAATTATAATCCTTGTGCATTCAGAAAGTTTGTGGTCTTCTGAAATTTATATTTAAATGATTTCTTGTCTCTAGGTGGATTCTGGCCCATACTATGATGCCTGTGTAAGGGACACCTGTGCATGTGACAGTGGGGGTGACTGTGATTGTTTCTGTACTGCAGTGGCAGCTTACGCTGCTGAATGCCGTAAAAAAGGAGCTTGTGTGGCATGGCGAAGCCCAAGCATATGTCGTAAGTCCAAGTACTGTTATAAATTGTGTTCAATGCAGTCAGAATTCTCCATATGCAAATCTACATGAAATGTGCAACTCAGAAGACTACAGATTTAAGCAAAAAAAAGTGTATTTTGTCATTATCCTCTATTATTTGACCACATATAAACATTGTCATACTGCTGACTAAAGTGATTGTTCTTGCAGCTTTATTCTGTGACTACTACAACAACCCTCCAGATGAATGTGAATGGCACTATAAAACCTGTGGATCCACCTGCATGAAAACTTGTAGAAACCCATCAGGAACTTGTTCTAATCAAATTCCTCTTCTAGAGGGTATGAAATAATCTTTAAATCATTTATTGGGTAAATGTAGTCCAAACCACAGAGAATATTATGATGTGAATTATTAATATGTTAATAATTTTTCTTTAGATTCAAGAAACACTCAGTCAATTGAAATTTCTTTCTTGTTTATTCCTTCTTGCCATTTATTATTACCCTAGGGTGTTTTCCTCAGTGCCCTTTAGAAAGGCCATTTCTGAGGGAGGACACAAGGAAATGTGTTACAGAGGCAGAATGTCTTTCTCTGTGTACCTATGATGGGAAGATATACACTACTGGACAAGTGGTGTACGATACCACAGATGGGAATGGCACATGTTTTACGGCTGTGTGTGGTTTCAACGGCATGATAATAAGAAATATTAACAAATGCATGACAACAACCACGCCATTCACTTTCACAACTCCACCACAAACTACTAAAACAACAATTATAATAACAGTTACAAAGACTTCCACCTCGACACCTATGACAGTAACGCTAACAACGCCAGAAATTTCATCAACATCTACACCTGCTGGTCAAACATCACCAGGAGTTTCTACTACTGCAGTTACTGCTCCAACACCATCTACAGAAACACCACCTCCCACGGGAACAGAAACACCATCCACAGCTACTACAACTGCTGGTACACCAACACCAACATCACCAGAAATTTCTACTACTGCTGAAACACCAATCACAGAAACACCACCTCCAACACAAACAGAAACGCCATCAACAGCAACGACAACTGCTGGTCCACCGACACCTACATCACCAGGAGTTTCTACTACTGCTGTTACTGCTCCTACTCCATCTACAGAAACACCACCTCCCACAAGAACAGAAACACCATTAACAGCTACTACAACTGCTGGTACACCAACACCAACATCACAAGAAATTTCTACTACTGCTGAAACACCAATCACAGAAACACCACCTCCAACACGAACAGAAACGCCATCAACAGCAACAACAACTGCTGGTCCACCGACACCTACATCACCAGGAGTTTTTACTACTGCAGTAACTGCTCCAACTCCATCTACAGAAACACCACCTACCACAGGAACAGAAACACCATCCACACCTACTACAACTGCTGGTACAGCAACACCAACATCACCAGAAATTTCTACTACTGCTGTTACTGCAGAAACACCAATCACAGAAACACCATCAACGGCAACAAGGACTGCTGGTCCACCAACACCTACATCACCAGGAGTTTCTACTTCTGCTGTTACTGCTCCTACTACATCTACAGAAACACCACCTCCCACAGGAACCGAAACACGATTAACAGCTACTACAACTGCTGGTACACCAATTCCAACATTATCCCAAATTTCTACTACTGCTGTTACTGCTGAAACACCAATCACAGAAACACCACCTCCAACACGAACAGAAACGCCATCAACAGCAACAACAACTGCTGGTCCAACGACACCTACATCACCAGGAGTTTCTACTACTGCTGTTACTGCTCCTACTCCATCTACAGAAACACCACCTCCCACAAGAACAGAAACACCATTAACAGCTACTACAACTGCTGGTACACCAATTCCAACATTACCCCAAATTTCTACTACTGCTGTTACTGCTGAAACACCAATCACAGAAACACCACCTCCATCACCAGGAGTTCCAGGAGTTTCTGTTACTGCTCCTACTACATCTACAGAAACACCTCCTCCCACAGGAACCGAAACACCATAAACACCATTTACAACTGCTGGTACACCAACACCAACATCACCAGAAATTTCTACTACTGCTGTTACTGCTGAAACACCAATCACAGAAACACCACCTCCAACACGAACAGAAACACCATCAACAGCAACAACAACTGCTGGTCCACCAACACCTACATCATCAGTAGTTTCTACTACTGCTGTTACTGCTCCAACACCATCTACAGAAACACAACCTCCCACAGGAACAGAAACACCATCCACAGCTACTACAACTGCTGGTACAGCAACACCAACATCATCAGAAATTTCTACCACTGCTGTTACTGCTGAAACACCAATCACAGAAACACCACCTACAACACGAAGAGAAACGCCATCAACGGCCACTACAACTGTTGGTCCACCGACACCTACATCACCAGGAGTTTCTACTACTGCTTTTACTGCTCCAACACCATCTACAGAAACACAACCTCCCACAGGAACAGAAAC